GGACCACGTGCAGGATTCACAATCATACGTTTGCGTAAGTATGAGTGGTATTTAACTATATGTTATACAATTGAGTTGTAATTAATATAAGGTAAAATTAATTATAATAAGTAAAATAAAAAATTTTAAATCAATAATAATTTTAATCAAAAATTTAAAAAAATTGAAATGTACTCTTATTCCTAAAGAAAGACCCAGACACGTTCATTTCCTCGGCACGTACAATGACTATCTTTTGGCCATTCAAAATCTGTTTCGACACGATGGATGCCAAACGCCCAAGAAGGTGACCCTTGGCGTCAATAACAATCACCTAAAAGATCAATGCGTTTCAATTTAATTTGTTAGTTATAAAATGAATAAAATATTGAATGTTAAAATTTCCTCCTAAAATTATAACAGGCTGCCCTTTCTTATTTTCAAATAATCAGTACCTTTTCAAAAGTGCTCATATTGGTAAAAGCACAATAATTTTTGAAAGGGATCTATGAAAACGAGAGGAGGTTCCATCAGTTCTGCTCAAGTGCCTTTAAGAAAATTTTTGATGATTTGTGTGACTAAGATCGTGTAACATTATCACGTGCATTGTGTATTCTTATAAAAGTGTTAAAAAAAACTATAAAAGGGCCAACAACCTTAACATCTTATTCGCGTTTTAGAGGTTTAAAAGATTAAGATTTTAAAGATGCGTACTATACTAGTGGTCATTACCTTTTTAGCATCTGCTGTATGCCTTTCAACAGCATATACGATAACACTTCAACCAAGCACAAGAGAATGTTTTTTTGAGGACTTGCGGCAGGGCGATAAAATGACCATTACTTACCAAGTTGGTGATGGTGGACACTTGGATATTGATTTTTCGGTAAATATCTAATTGTTTTGATAGGAGATGGTGCGTAAGTTAGAATTAGAAAAAAAAAATTAGTCAAAGAATGTTAAATTTATAGATATGGAATAGGAACTAGTAACAAATTTTTTTTTAAATAAAATTGTTCAAGTGTTCATTGATCATGAATGAATTATATAATATATTAAAATTCTTCAGGTATTTGATCCGAATGACCATGTATTAGATTCATCTGAAAGACAAAGCACCGGAACATATAGCTTTAATGCTGAATTATCTGGTCGACATACTTATTGTTTCAGTAATGAAATGTCAACTGTTTCTGAAAAAGTTGTTAGTTTTAATGCCCATGGAATTGTTTCTGCTCCAGATGGTGGATGTAAGTTTAGAATTCAAGAAATCATTTCTTTGAACAACTTGTATTATTTTATCGTAATTGTTAATCAAATATTGCATATAACTTTATAATAGCACATACAGATCCTTTAGAGAAAGAAATACGTGAACTTGCTGAGGGCCTTGCTGCTATTAAAGATGAACAAGAATATATTGTGATGCGAGAACGTATACACAGAGATAGTAAGTGTTCAAATAACTTCTCAAATTTGCTGTCGATGTTATTTAAAAAGCTGAATTGATATAATTAAACATTGACTTTATTTTCCACTATCACTTGTAGCTGCTGAAAGTACGAATGATCGCGTTAAATGGTGGTCAATTTTCCAATTTATTGTTCTTTTTGGAGTATGTTTT